ACACCTACCTAGTTCCACATTTTCAGTACCCCAAAGGAAGCCTCCTATCTACAAGTAGTTACTCCTCTTTCCCCCTCCTCCTAGCCCCAGGCAACAACTAATATGCTTTCTGTTTTGTGGCTTTACCTTTTCTGGATAGTTCATATAAAAGGAATCATACAATTAAAAAAAATAAAATAAAAAGATTAGGGATTCAGACCCACTACCCACCAGCCACTCCTCGGAAGGAAGATGGGGCACTTTACTTCCGTAGTGATATTGCCTCCACAGCCCAAGGAGGGGTTGCTATGAGTCGGGTCTGACTCGATGGCACACAACAACAACAACAACAACATAAAAAGGGCATGGAAGTATTGTCATCTGACCTCTTTTAACTTCACAAAGGGGAGAGAGAATTACCTTCAGCCCAAAGTTAATTCCTATGAGGTGGAGGTCATACATGCTGCCACCCTCCTTTATACCAATTCTGACACCAACCTTCCCTCCCATGGCATTCTCTATTTCTCTGCTGGGTTTGATCTTTCATTGAAATGATCACATAGAACTAACAGACAATACTCACAATTATGAGATTTACTAGGGAAGTAACAGGTATCAGGAACAGTATCAGGAACACTCAGGATATAATCTTTTGATCAGGACAGCCTCCCTCAGCCATGCCCACAGGTACACTTCTCTTTCACCCTTGGCCTCTTGGCTTGGCCTCTGCTAGGGCACGTATTACAAAGCAATTTTAGCTCTGCTGCTAGGTGCCCAGAGAGGCACCTCACTCTACCAGCAAGACTCCTGCCTGTGAGCACTCAGCTTTCTCACCCTGTGGTCTAGGAAGTCCAGCTGTCTTGTGCTGGTCTCTTGGCTCTGTTGCCTCTGTGACCATGGTTTCTCTGTTATTTCTCACCACTCCCCACCTCAGCAAAGTGCTACAGCATTCTCTTCTGGACACAGGAAGTTAAGTGCAAGGATCTTGGGTCCAAAGGACACGCTCCAATGCTGTCTCTTCTTTCTTGATGGTAGTTAGATCCCCCTTTCTGTCACTGGGATGGCTCATTTTAAGCCTAGCAGATGGCAAAACTGACCAATCCTCATGTTAGGGTTCCATATACTATATTTGCACAGTCCCACCCACAAAGGTGCCATGTACTTTATTTACATTATTAGCAAGCTATCCAAACCCCTTGGTGGGCCACAAACACCTCACATTTGCATTGTCCCACCCAGTCATCTGGTGGGAGTCTCAAAGACCATGACTAGAAGACCTGTACCAAGTTATTTGTTGCACTGCACCCACCCACCAGTACCGTGACAGAAAAATCCCAACACTCTGCTTCCAGTAAGTTTACAGCCAAGTATTGCCCTAAGATCATCTCTAAACCTTAAACCAAAAATATTCCTGACGTCTTCTTAAAACCAAACATAGTAAAACTAGTAAGAAAAAAAACAGTTTGCCTTGAGAATTATGCTTTTTAAAAGAACTATGTGTATGAGATCAAATTGACAATAGCAACTTGAAAGTTTAGACAGGAGACTTAGGGGACAGTGAGTTTAGTTAACGGGGGAGGAACAACTCAGAAAAGGAGAGTGAGAATGGTTGTACAGCTTGAAGAATGTAAGCAATGTCAGGAAGTTTTATATACTGGAACTGCTGAACTGGTGTATGGGTTTTTGTTTGTATTCACAACAACAAAATAAATAAGTAAAATTTAAAGAAAAAAAGAAT